AACCTTGACCATCTATGCAGTCGGTCCCAAGGCTCCAAAGTCACCAAGAAATTGCACCCTTATGACTATTATCTCGGCAATCATTGCAATAGCACAACAGCAAGGGCAGTGCCCAATGGGAAGGAAGCAGTCATACCCAGCGCATTAACAACAGTGGCAGACACCAGGCCGAGCAAGCCCTATTCCCAACCAAATACAACGCCGCTCGCGGGGTCGTCGAAAACCACGAACCATCACTTGGCTGACTCCCATAGTCATTTCAATAATCATATTGATATTCATAGCCCTTTATCTATTCCGGGTATACTGAAATCGGCAAAGAGTGGCCTCTGGTGATGATGGAGTGATGTTATAAGTCATGACAAAGCAGTCGTGGCAGTGGTTCCATATCTCTGTGTATCGATCTCTTCAATGCATCGCCCTAGTGCGGAAAATGTGCCTTCGTTTAAGTGTCAACACCGAAATTTAATTATTCTGGATTCGCTGCTCCCTAACAGGATATTAGTATAAGCAGGCCGCTCTCTTGTATTGTGTCTCAGAGTAACTTATTTTTTATATACTTTCCACTTAATATGATTGTCCACTAATATGAACAAGAAGATCTAATTTTGATCCTGACCGTTATTATGACAAAGACTGAGCTACACAATTGTGTGCCTCCATAATGGAGAATGCATCAGTCATCCTGCAGAACGCCATTAAAGTGATATCCACAATATCAATCTCCTCGAGACACGGCGAGCATCCAGTCCCAGCAACCGAGATCCATATTAATGATCGAAAAGGTAGGTAACAGTCTCTGATTCTTCCAGACAAATGGTGATATTAAAAGACCATTTTCAGATCCGAGAAAGCAATGATTCTATTTTTACTATCGGAACAAGCTCTGAGGATGAGAGACTTACTCTCAGCTGGGGCCAGATGATGGATTCTGTCTTTGGGATTTCGTTTCTTGTACAGCATGGCCATATAGTGTCTCTCCCATGAAGCACTGAGATTCTTTTGTACAGTGCCAGAAGTATCTTGTTATCTGTGAACATTATAACTTCCTGATCAATGGTCCTATCTCTATACTAAATATTCCTCCTTATTTGTGATTCTCCCCTTCACTCAACAATTGGCTGTCTCTCAGCGTAAGCAGTGCGCCACCACGCCATTTCTATATAAAGAGGTTATGCTTTCCAGAACTCGTCTTTATCTGAAAATAAAATATATAATAGGAATGTTTATGTCCAAATGTTGGCCATATATCAACAGTCCAGCCAAGCATCCATTGATTGTCTCCAGAGAAAGTCGCCTAGTCGGAAAACCCAACAATGTATAGATCAGATATCGACTGGGGTCTCTCTTTATCTTACACTAGCTTGAACTGGTAATCCAATTACACTGAAGTACTCCGTACTATTTATAATGATGGTAGCAAACAGAGTTCCACCAGGCGGCCAGTGACCCACCCTAATGTCCCAGACCTCACCAAAATTGTTAAACAGAACCACCCAG